ATACATAATATATATATATATATATATATATATATATACACACACTCACTGGCCACTTTATTAGGTACACCTTGCTAGTACCGAATTGGACCCCCTTTTGCCTTCAGAACTGCCTTAATTCTTCGTGGCATAGATTTACAAGGTGCTGGAAACATTCCTCAGAGATTTTGGCCCATACTTACATGATAGCATCATGCAGTTGCTGCAGATTTGTCGGCTGCACATCCAAATCTCCGGTTCCACCACATCCCAATGGTGCTCTATTGAATTGAGATCTGGTGACTGTGGAGGCCATTAGAGTGCTGTGAATTCATTGTCATGTTCAAGAAACCAGTTTGAGATGATGTGAGCTTTGTGACATGTTGCATTATCCTGCCGGAAGTAGCCATCAGAAGATGGGTACACTGTAGTCATAAAGGGATGGACATGGTCAACAACAATACTCAGGTAGGTCGTGGCGTTTAAACTATGCTCATTTTGTACTAAGGGGCCCAAAGTCTGCCAAGAACATATCCCCCACACCATTACACCATTACATCGCCAGCATGAACCATTGATACAAGACAGGATGGATCCATGCTTTCATGTTGTTTACGCCAAATTCTGACCCTACCATCTGAATGTCGCAGCTGAAATCGAGACTCATCAGACCAGGCACCGTTTTTCCAATCTTCTATTGTCCAATTTTGGTGAGCCTGTGCGAATTGTAGCCTCCATTTCCTGTTCTTAGCTGATAGGAATGGCACGCGGTGTGGTCTTCTGCTGCTGTATCTGCTTTGACGTGTTGTGCATTCAGAGATGGTATTCTGCATATCTTGGTTGTAGCAAGTGGTTATTTGAGTTACTGTTGTTGCCTTTCTATCATCTCGAACCAGTCTGCCCTTTCTCCTCTGACATCTGGCATCAACATGGCATTTTCGTCCACACTACTGCCGCTCACTAGATATTTTCTCTTTTTTGGACCATTCTCTGTAAACCTTAGAGATGGTTGTGCGTGAAAATCCTAGTAGATCAGCAGTTTTTGAAATACTCAGACCAGCCCGTCTGGCACTAACAACCATGCCATGTTTAAAGTCACTTAAATCCCTTCTTCCCCATTCATTTGGACAATGAATGAAAGGGTTGGAAGCTCTGTCAGGTTTTCATTGCTGTGTGTGTCCTCGCTTGAGAGGTTCGCCCCCTCTATTTGTCCTGGCCATCATAATCACTGTGGATGAATGTAATGGGAGAGCTACAGCTGTCATTGTAGCAGGACTACAGAGGAATTCTATTGTGTTTTGTATTCTTCCTATGAGGACACCTTTTGCAGTCACATTTCCCGCCCTTCTTTGGAGATATTGTCTCGCACTTATTGTTGTGCATCCAGGAGAGGAAATTATGGGAAATTTCACCATTGAGACACAGATTCCTAAAAATCTGATAGCTGTTTTAAGGGTAAATTCTACTTATTTATGAAAAATGAAAAATGTGCATTTGTTTTTTTTGGGGGCACTGGAGCCAGCAAAGCATTGCAGCTGTGATCAGCAGATCACGGGTGCGATGCTCTGGCTCCTACAGATTCTCCCTCCCGTCCATGTCTGCACCTTGGTATGGATATGCAGTAACATGGACAGGAGGGAGAATGAATGGATTACAAGTATTCCATAGACAACTACAAGTCCCTCTGCTACGGTGGCTGATGGGACTCTTCATTTCTCCATTCACAGGTCCTGTCATAGGATCCGTAAATGGATGACGTGGCAGAGTGTGGGCAGAGCCATGCACAGCAGTGCTGAATTTGAAATACAGCAGCAGTCTAAGGGGAGAAGAACCCCATGATTCAGGTATGCGAGGGACACGATGGGGGTGGAGGGGTGTGCCGACGTGACCATGTTTCATTTTACACGCAAAATACAGTTGTAACATGAAACATGGTCCCAGTGGTAAACTCAGCCTTTAACCTTTACCCATAGGTGTGCACAGCCTATTGCTTTAGGGTGTGCACCCAAAAACACAAACATACATGATATATGTAAACAATAATGTGCCAAGCTAAACAAAAAATACAATACAATACAAGCTATATATCTTATATTATGACATCACATATGTGTGCCTTTGGTCAGATGAACTAACACGGCATAACAAATGTGCAAATACAACATAAAATATAAATGTAAAGAAAGGCCCCAAAAAAAGAACAATCGTGATCGTGCAAGAAAATGCCTCAGATGATCCACCGCCAGTCAGAATACAACTCCTAGGTATATGGTTATCACACAATGTAGGCAGACCTTCACCTCCACCCAGTGAGTATGAATGACAAAATGGTGCTCACCTGGGAAAGCAGACCCACATAGCCAGGTCTCAATGTGCGCTTTCCCTTCTTAATAAGGGGAGGGAAGCCCATACAAATTGAAAACAGGATGGTCTTCTCATATCACAAGTGCCAACATCATATCCGAGGGAGAGAGAAAAAGGACAGGACATAGTGCATATTGTCCAATATAAATGCAGTTTATTAAATAAAAAATGCGTACAGGCATCAAACTGTTGCCGCATCAATCCAGCAAGGCAAGTGGTAGTGAATGACGGGTTCACTACCACTTGCCTTTACGGGTTCGACGGGTTCACTACCACTTACTTTACGGGTGCGGCGCAACGTAAGTAGGACGGAGCTTCCAATGTCACTACTCTGAGCTGAGCCGGACGAACGGTCATCCTATTATACCCTACCATTCACTACCACTTGCCTTGCTGGATTGATCCGGCTGCGGATCATGGGAGCTCCATCTGCCATCAGCACTCCGCCAGCCATGTGTGCACGAGGGTGAGTAGGGTGTGCCCAGGCATACCCAGCACACCCCTTGCGCATGCCTATGTCTTTCCCTTATCTATCCAAAACTAAAGCAAAAGTTTTTTATATATGCTTATGTTTTATGCATTGAGGGTCTACTTACTGTTTCAATGTGTTTTTTAAATACAGTTAAAAAAGGATGCATCTAATTGGGTCAAGTGTGTGGCGGGGGGGAGGGGACTGGGTCATATGGGGGGGCGGCAGGTGTGCCTGAGCTCTTAGCAACCTGTAACACTCTGTACGACATCCTGGCCAGCTCACTGCTGTCACTGGTTTCCAGGAGCAGAGCAGGACACCCTGGCTGACATCCCATTCAGCTCCTGACAACCAGTAATGTCAATGAGACGTGCTGGGTGGTTGTTTTTAATGTGTTATTTTTTTTAAGATTACATCAACCAACCCAGTCACCAGTTGTGTTATTGTACCGAAGCCAGTGTATCACCCATGCCGGAGGTACTGTGCATCAACCCACAAATCTTTTCCACATACCCCATAATGTGC